GAGAGAGAGAGAGAGCCTGCTACCTGTGCCTCTCATTGTAATGTTAAAGAGAGAGCTACTGCTTCAAGGGTTCTGTGTATATTTGTTGGTTAGTTCTGTCTTGTAATAAATTTGAGATGCTTCTGTCTTTGTCCATGAAACCAGTGCCATTATGTGGTACTTTTGTTTTTCTATTAACATTTTGTTCATTCTGTTAATAAGTGGTTTTCCCATTTCGTGGCTGCTTCTCACATATCTCCCCTCCCCCCCCCCCCCCAACCCCCACAGGTATCAACTCGGTTTCTTTCGGCGAATCCTCCAATATACTGGTTTGCCGCTTATCTAATGTGCACTCGTAGAAATGGTTTCAGGTGGGGCTACCTGATATGGGCTTATTGCGTTGCCTATATACTCCTTGGCAGTTTGCTCTTCTCTAATTTCTATCCTTTCACTTAGAAGGCCCGTGACTCTTGTAATTATGGATGCTTGAGTTTTTCTTCCTTTTGGTTTCTCTTTTCCCTTCTCCACACAATATGGTGTTTTTTTTTGTTAATTAAAAGTTTTGATCTTAGTCTACCTTGCCTGCTGCCTTAATGACATCACTCGTGATGATTTCAATAAGTGACCCAATTTTGGTGCGTCTTAGAAACCATTATTGATTTGACATTTTTTTTTTTTTGGAAAAATTACAAGAAACCTTAGGACTACATTTTCTATGCAACTTATTCCTGACTTAACTTTTTTTCCTACTTTTTCTCAAAAACAAACTTTTTATGCAAATACATCCTCCAAGGAAAAAAGTTCATTTTGTAAACGAAAATGCCTTTCCCGTACACAAAAATCAATTTGGTCAGATTTCACGTTAATTTTCGGAGCACATTGCCAAAGCGAACATTGCAGTGCTGGAGCGCTTGATCCACTGCAGTAACGCACATACACAACGTCCAACGTTGTGACTCTAGAGTGTTCCACTGTCGGAGCGCACTTACACAGTGCCGGAGCGCATCATCTACCGTCAGATCGCATTTACACAGTGGCAGAGCTTTGGGACTCCATAGTGTTCCACGGCTGGATCGCACTTACATAGTGTCAGAGTGTTGTAATTCCAGAGTGCTCCATTGCCGGACTACACTTACACAGTGTCGGAGCACTGTGACTCCAGAGTGTTCGACTGTCGGAACACAATTACACAGTGTCGGAGCTTTTGATCCACTGCTTGAGCGTTGTGACTCCAGAGTGTCCTATTGTCGAAATACACTTATACAGTGTCGGAGCGCATCATCCACTGCTGGATTGCACTTACACAGTGCTAGAGCCATGGGACTCCAGAGTGTTCCACTATCGGACGTCACTTACACAGTGACGGAGCGTTGTGATTCCAAAGTGCTCCACTGTTGGATCGCACTTACACATTACCGGAGCATTGTGAATCTAGAGTGTTCCACTGTCGGAGCGTATTTACGCAGTGCTGTAGTACTTGATCCACTGTCGGAGTGCACATACACAGTGTCAGAACGCTGTGATTCCAGAGTATTCCATTGCCCGAGTATATCTACACAGTGTCGGAGCGCTTGATTCATTGTCGGAGCTATCAAAATTTTTTTTTTTTTTTGTGTGGTGTTGCATGTTAGCTAATAATAAGAAGAAATGGAGTTACGTGTTGCTGACATTGTTTTTAAGTAGCTTAGGCTGGAATAAGAAATTGATAGTTGTTTCATAGAGAGCGATCGGGCCTTGGATTCAAGGAGATAGTAGAAGAGAGAGAGGGGGAGAGCTCGGGCCGGGAGAGAGCGCAAGAAAGAGGGGTAGAGCTTGAGCTGTGAGTGCGTTTGTGGACTGTGGGTCTTCTTACGGTAAAAAATTAGGTCTCGTGGGAAAGAGGAAAGAGGAAAGAGAGGCATAGGTAAAGGGTAAAGTATAGGAGGAGAGAAGGTGTGCATGAAGAGTAATGTAAAGGTAGTTTTATCTTTTATTTTACTTTATTTTTGGGGTGGTTGGGGTGTTTATTAGAAAATATTGTTTTGGAAAAAAAGTGAGCAAAATATTAGTTGGGGGTAAGTTGTTTGATGGTCGTTTCCTGTACACTCACACCATTCAATCATCACCGCGTCCAAGGTCTCTTTAGGATGTGGGTCCCTTAGCATCTTATCCTGCTGAATAGACCATAAACAGACTTAAACAAAAAAAAAAAAAAAAAAGCTAACTCTTTAATCTATCTGAAAATATAGATAGGGGCGAGCCTGTTTTCCTCATTGAATTACCAAAAAAAGAATAGATCACATAAAACAGAATAAAAGGTGCTTTACTCTTGATTCATTTATAAGACTATGTAAAAGCCATTTCTCAGTTGTTATTCAAGCTAAATCTCGTATTCATAATATGTATATAATGAGGCCAGGTAGTTTGATACAAGGCAGATACCATCATCATTGACTTTTAGATTTACAGTCGGGTGTGTTGATGATGTGTCATTATTTGGGCATAGTTTAAAAATAAAATTTCTCGACTTTATATAAAAAATAAATGGTCTTATCATATACAATCTCTAACTTAAATGTATGCCTAAATTGTAATGCTTTTACTCTTACCCCATCCGTAACAGCTTGGCTGCCAGACGCGAAAGCAGCAAAGAAATGGCAAAGTTGAATGCACTGTTATTGATATTGTGCAATCAGCTATCATGGCACTTTTCAATTATTGGGAAATCTTAGATCAAGAATGAAGACATCTGAATAAGTTAAATTTGTTTTTTGGGTAATTCAGTGAAGAAGACAGGCCGATCAACCAAACGAAATGGGCAACTTTTTTTTAAATATGTTCCATACTTTTAATCTATTATTCATTTTTTTATATATATTTATAAAATATAGTTAAATCGGTTTAACTGGCTATCATATTAGTTTTGATTGGATTAGAGCCTTCATTGGTTCGATGGCACAAGGGATTTTGATAACCTGCAATAACTTGAAAAGAGCAAAATTGTTACTACACCTCCCTTTGCAATAATAAATTTTTAAGGATTTTCAGCAAGTATTTTAATTGAAAATGATCTTCACGTATTGTTTCTAAATTTTGTTTAAATATTCTTATAAATTTTGTTTAAGTACTATTGTCATCGGTGTGCTTGGTTTGGTACGACACTAATATTCCATGTAAAGAAAGGTGATATCCTCTATTGACTCGTGTAAGCCATCATCCGTTGGATTCCCATTGTCTATTGAAAGGGTGGATGGTGATGGATAAAGAAGGGGATCATTTTTTTTATGGTGTTGAGGTTGTGGTGGTAGCACTACTTTAGCCTTAGCTATGCGTCTTGGTTTCTATTCTCATTGAAAAGGAAAAAAAAGAATGGGATCATCATCGTGCTCATGTTTACTTATAATTGGTTTCCTTATGTTTCCATCACCGTCTGTTTTTATGATGGACGAGGGGATGACCCACTCAAATCGTTCTTCTATGGTCCTTTGGATTATAGTACGATTGGGAAATTCGTTAATTATTATGAACAGTTGGGTACAATGTTTTATGCATTGGACTCATTAATTTTTTACTGGTCTTCTTTTTAATATTATCTAAAGCCACTCATTAGCCCAGATTTGGCAGGGCACTTCCCTCTTCTCTTAAGAATAATAATAAATTGTATTATTTTTGCCCTTTAGTTAAAAATATTTTTTTTGTTTATATATTAGAAAATGTTCATGTAAGGTTTCAACCTAAACTGTAGAATTAAAATTTCGTCGGAAAAGGTGGTTTTGATGTTGGAAAACTCTCTGATTTATCATTTTGACATCAAGATGTATGGGTATGAGGGCAAAAAAAAAAAAAGATCTTGAGTCCCAAAATAGTGAATCTTATAACACTGTCAGGACCGTCTATTTTGAAGATTTTCATGTGTTTATAGATCTATTTGATTTGAACTATTTTTGAAGTTTACAATTTTAATCACATATGAAAATAGATTCTCAACCCATCCTCAAAATTTTTGACACCAAAATTTCATTTTATCATAAAATTTAGATGCACACATTACATTGTTTAAGGTCGCAACATTATGCAAACCACACCCTTATATATTCTATGAAATCATTTTATTCTTTATTTATTGCTTATGGTATCACATGTTCATTACGATCGGGCCGCGATAACCAACTGGCGTCTCTATTGATTATGTGAATGATCCACTAAAATATTGCAAATCAGCAATCAATTTTCTTTGCCATGATTTTGAGAGAGAGAAGGAATTGTAGTGGGTTATTTTCAAGTTTTATGGTTGGGAGAATTTTAGCTTAGAGAATTAATTTATAAGATAGGATATATATTAAAATAGGTTTTTAAAGTAGATTTGCTAGTCTTTAACTTTTTGTGTCTTGCCTATTTCTAGGAATGTGACCATTTTTTATTTTACGTTCGTATCTTAAAGAAACTTAACTTACCCTACATTATTCTAGGATACATATTAAAATCTATTTTTAAAGTAGATTTGCTAGCGCTTAACTTTTTGTGTCTTGCCTACATTATTTCTAGGAATATGGCCATTTTTCATTTTAACTGGGTACCTTAGAGAAACTTACCCTACATTATTCTAGGAATAGGGCTTTATTTATTTCTAGAAATGTGATCATTTTTTATTTTAGCTTGTTACCTTAGAGAAACTTACTCTACATTATTTTAGGAAAAGGGTTAATTTTTTTTTTGACATGTGTGCATCTTGATAGTCATTAACCTTGGCACATAGATAATTACTTCATAGAAAGATTAGTAATTGGATATTTTGCATTATATTATATAAGGAATGGGATTATGCAACACTGACCACCAAGTATTGATCACAATGCTATGTCATACATTACCCTAAAGAATATGAGGGAAATGTTCTATAGAAATTTTGCATTATATAAGGAATGGACGCTAAAGAATATGAGGGAAAGGTTATATTGAAATTTTGCATTATATAAGGAATGGGATTATGCATATTGATCACAATGCTATCTCATGCATTAGGGTCAAGAAGATGACGAAAAGCTTATATAAGGAATGGGATTATTCATACCACCAAGTGTTGATCACAATCATGCGTTAGACTCAAGAATACGAGGGAATATGCTTAGCGAGGGATCACAATGCTGTCATGCACTATACTCAATAATATGAGGAAAAGTGGTCATTTTTTATTATTGATCACCAATATTATATTATACATTAGGCCCCAGAACCAGAGGGTAGTGCAATACGAGGGATCACAATGCTATGTTATGCATTAGGCTCAAAATCAGAGGGCAGTGATCACAATGTTATGTCATGCATTAGGCTCACAATGTTACGTCATGCATTAGGGATGAAAAGCTGAATAATTAGGCATTTTGCATTATATAGGGAATGAGATTCGTCAGCACATATGGGATTCTGGAGCCCAAACCAGAGGGAGGGAAAGGTCCATTATTGGGCATTTTGCATTACATAGGGAATGTGATTCTGCAGCAACCACTAAGTGTTGATCAGCAATAGGATTATGGAACCCAGACCAGAGAGAGGGAAAGGTCAATAATTGGGCATTTTGCATTATGTAGGGAATGTGA